ACAAACCGAGTACTTGGTGTGATCTTCCCAATCGATCACGGTTACCAATAAAACGAAGCTTGAATCTTCTGACCACTTGAGCAGAACCTTCTGACCACTTGATCCGTCCTGCACTTGCTTCGCCTTGCCCTACGTGTTTTATCTGCGTCCGATCGCAGTTGAGTTGTGTTGAGAGTTCTTGCAATCCCTGGTCAAACAATCCAGGGATATGAATTGCGTAGTGTGTAGGCTTCCTCGAGACGTCGGGTGGCCAAAGAATCCAGCCCGGAAGAGAAGTCGACACGTGTATTAGAAGTAAAATTGAGCTCTGTTTAGTGTTAACCAATCAAAACTCGAAACCTACGATTCTGCCTATCTGTAGTCCAGGATCTATCACCACGTGTCACCCTTTCAGAAAAAATCAGATCTCGATATGTGGTCCACCCCAAAGGCCTTTGCCATCCCGATCCATCGGCGATCTTGCCTTATCCTTGGATCGCGATCCGAATCAGATCGCGTATCAGCTCAGGATCGCGGTCGATCCATAATGCGTAATTCTTGTAAGTTGGATCGCGATCTAGGTCGGATCGCGGATCTACGTTAGATCGCGATTCTAAGTCGGATCGTGCTTTACCTTGGATCGCGCTCAGCCTTGGATCGCGGTTCTGAGTCGGATCGCGGTTCTGAGTCGGATCGCGGTTCTGAGTCAGATCGCGGTTCTGATTCGGATCGCGGTTCTGAGTCGGATCGCGCTTTACCTTGGATCGCGGTCTACCTTGGATCGCGTTCAGCCTTGGATCGCGGTTCTGAGTCGGATCGCGCTTTACCTTGGATCGCGATCGATCCTGGGTGTGTGGTCCACATAACTTGGATCGCGATCTCCACTCCACGAAATTTGTTTATCCGCTCTTCCACAAAGAAGACCTGACGAACGAAGACTCGATGAACTAAACTTTTGATTGCGTAAGAATCGACAAACGAAGACCTGGCGAACGAAGACAAGATGAACAAAGACCTGATGAACGAAGACTCGATGACCTAAGCCTCGATGCCCTACGAATCAATTTACGAAGCCCTGAGCGAAGACTCGACGAACGAAGCGTCAGCAAGATAATACTCGACAAACGAAGACTCAATAAACGAAGACTAACTGAGTAAAGACTCGACAAACGAAGACTCAATGCAAGGTTCCAAGATTCAAATGAGGGTCACCAGGGACAGGGTTTCCAGTACGCGGGGACAGGGGTGCCAGCTACCGGGGACAGGGTTTCCAGTAACCGGGGACAGGGTTTCCAGTACCGGGACAGGGTTTCCAGTAATCGGGACAGGGTTTCCAGTCAACAGGGACAGAGCACCGGGGACAGAGGTACCAGTAAATAGGGTTAGGGTTTCCAGTAACGGGGGCAGGCTATCGATTACCGGGGACAGTGGTACCAGCTACCGGGGACAGTGGTACCCTACCGGGAACAGGGGTACCAGCTACCGGGGACAGGGTTTCCAGTAACCGGGGACAGGGTTTTCAGTACCCGGGGACAGGGTTTCCAGTACGCGGGGACAGGAGTGCCAGCTACCGGGGACAGGGTGCCAGTTACCGGGGACGGGGTTTTCAGTCGCCAGGGACAGGGGTACCAGTCACCGGGGACAGGGGTACCGAAGGTTCAGGGTCCTGGAGTCACTTGGAGAAGTGCCAAGTTGCCCTACAGTGCAGAGCCGGCACAAGTCCAAGAACCCGAAGGTCCAGTGCCTCGAGGGCATCCACGTTCCCAAGGTGGACCAGGACTCAAGGTGAACCATGATCCAAGGTGGACCACAACCCAAGGTGGAACAGGCCTCAAGAAGGTCCCGGCACTCAAGGTGGAACAGGATGACTCATGGTGACCGGTGGACCCAGGCGACAGGTGGACCCAGGTGACCAGTGGACCCTAGGTGACCGGTGGACCCAGGTGACAGGTGGAACCAGATGACCGGTAGACCCAGGTGACCGGCGGACCTAGGTGACCGGTGGACCCTAGGTGAACGGTGGACCCCATGTGACAGGTGGACTTTAGGTTATAAAAGGTAAAAGGCTTCGTTAAAGTGCAGAGCTGGTACAAGTCCCATGTCCTAAAAGAGCCAGTTGATCGTCCACAAGTTGACATGTGGTGTCATCTAGAGCGAAGGGTAAGGTTAGGCAAGAAAAAAAGCATACAGAGAACAAGAAAAATAAACACACTCGAATTTGCATTACACGTGGCAGCTTTAAGCGCCCCTTCCAAGCTTCTCCGTCACCTCACCTATTCCGAGCGAGATACCCTTTGGCCCACCGACGTCAGGTGAGGCGACGGCTCAAGCTACGCAAGTTGAACCTCAGGATAGTTGGCCTGAGGTGTCAAGTAAGTGTCAAGACTCGAGTGCGAACTTGTTTCGATCTACCCACCTGTTACGGGGAAGGGATTTATTTTGGCCCCCCCCCCCCCCGTTGAAGACAGTCGTGTGGTAAGACTCAAGCTCGAACGAAACCCAGGAAGTATTTTGGCCTGTGGGTTCGTAGCCATTCAAGACCCGCTATATGAAGCGGTTTCTCTACGGGGAACAAGAAAAGGGGTCGAAAGACCAAGAACAGTTAGCCACCGAAAGGGGTACATAGTACCAGGTGCATCGCTCTCGACCAAGTCGATTGAGCCCAAGAAACCCGGTCCCAAGTGAAGTATATCCACTCGGGGACCACCAAGTCCCTCTATACAAGACCAAGTTTCGAAGTCTTCTGCGTCAACCGAGGAGCAAGACCAGCCAAGCCGACGGGTACACAAGGTAAGACCCAAGGTTAACACGACACGGTATCGGGGTACCCCCTCCGTAAGTCGACAGTCCGGCGCTGTGTGTGTTGTGGTTCTCTCACGTCGTTTGAGAATCCACTCCACCACAAAGACTCGATGATCGCAGACTCGACAAACGAAGACTCAATGAACGAAGACAAACGAGCTAAGACTCGATGAACGAAGACCTGACGAACGAAGACCCGATGACCTAAGCCTTGATGCCCTACGAATCAATTTACGAAGCCCTGACGAGCGAAGACTCGACGAACGAAGCGTCAACGAGATTATACTCGACAAACGAAGACTCAATGAACAAAGCCTAAACGAGTTAAGACTCGACACGATAAGACTTGATGAACGAAGACCTGACGAACGAAGACTTGATGATTGCAGACTCGACAAACGAAGATTTGATGAACGAAGACCTGACGAACAAAGACTCGACAAACGAAGACTTAATGAACGAAGAAAAACGAGCTAAGACTCGACATGATAATACTTGATAAACGAAGACCTGACGAACGAAGACTCGATGAAGTAAGTTTTGATGGTCTAAGAATCAATTAACGCAGACCTGACGAGCGAAGACTCGATGAACGAATTATTGACGACGGGAAATGGTGGGTGACCATCAGCTCGCCTGGATAATATTAGATCAGAATAATGCATATACCCGTTGGTACACCTTTCGAAGTTGAAGCTGTTCCGGCAATATTTCGACAGACTAAATACGGTGTTGGTGGTGGAAGAAAGAGATCGGGTGGATTTTGACAAAGCCCTGTTACCAGAGGATAGTTGTGTGGTGAAGTGCCAGGGGTAATCAGAGCTTCAAGAAAATGGGAACAGAGAGCAAAAGACTTTCTGGTCGCTCCCCCGAGGGAGTGACCACGTCACGGCCTCGCAGATCTACAGCCTCACACCAGGCCCCAGCCTTATTAAGAATATAAGGACCCAGACGTGCGGAGCCAGCACAGGCCCCAGGCCCAGGGATACAGGGTAATAGGGTAACAGGCCCAGGGTACCGGGGTAACAGGGTACCGGGATACCGGGGCCCAGGGCCCAATGCCCGAGGGTGCAGAATCGGTACACGGAATATTAAAGATTGCAGAAACCACAGGTACCAAGGAGCCAATTCTTCCTCCAAGAGTCGACACGTGGCACTATCCAGATCAAAGGGTTAGGGTTAGGCAAGAAAAACATACAAAGTATAAGATAAATAAACACACTCGAATTTGCTTTACACGTGGCAGCTCCAAGCGCCTCCTCTTAGCTTCTACGTCGCTCCACCTCTTCCGGGCGGGATATCCTTTGGCCCCCCGACGTCAGCAGGTGGTAGACGGCTCAAGCAACGCAAGTTGAACCTCAGAATAGCTGTCCTGAGGTGTCAAAAAACATCCAACACCCGCTACAGGAAGCGATTTCCCTATGGGGAAGAACACAAAGGGGTTCAAGGACCAAGAACAGTCAGCCACCAAAGGGGTACATAGTACCAGGTGCATTGCTCTCGACTAAGTCGATCGAGTTGAAGAAACCCGGTCCCTAGTGAAGCATATTCACTCGAGGACCATTAAGTCCAAGTCTTATACACATACCAAGTCTTTAAGTCTTCTGCGTCAACCGAGAGCAAGACCAGCCAAGCCGGCGGTACACAAGGTAAGACCTATGTTAACACGACACGGTATTGGGGTACCCCCTCCGTAAGTCGGCAGTCCGGCGCTGTGTGTGTTGTGGTTCTCCTACGTTGTTTGAGAATTCACTCCACCAAAAAACTAAACGGATTTCGTGTAACTATTGGCCCGTTACATAAGTTCTTGAGATTCGAAGAAATTGATGACTTGTCTCTTGATTTGAAAATCGAATGACGTAATGGTGTTATACAATTTCGTAATGAAAATCACAGTGCACCATAACTATACTTAATTTGAAAAGAGACGCCCTCGATTTGAATTTTTGGTATAGATACGACATTTCAGTCATATACAGATCACATGACACAATTAACTTTAACAAAATAGTTTTTAGCCAACCACAGTGCCCCAATATCAGTAGTTTAATATGCATTTGTACTTTTAAAATCAATGTCTCAATAAGACTGCTTAATTTCTTGTACACCACACGAAAACAAAAGAAAGAAATCTACAGAAAAATACGTGGAGGAGAGTCAATTGATCCCCTCAGTAGGGAATTTCCAAGCCAAAAAGAAGAGGGATCAAGAAAGTCGCCATGGCCCCCGCCGCAGAAGACGTGCTTGGTGAACTATACGGCTGGGATTCGGTAATTGAAGATGACTCGTCTCTGTCCGCAAATGACCCACAACGTGATGAAGACAAGACAGAGGACGCCTTTGAACAGATTATTCACACGGCCAGTGGGGATGCCAGCGACATTGTGCTGAGTCTTGCAGCGCAATTGCTTCATAAGCACTTTTTTCGCTTCCCACACGTCCAGCTCAACGTAGTAGAGGTCCTTCTAAAGCTCTGTGGACCTCAGCGGTCGCAAGCCGTGCGTATTCACACGCTTCGTGCGCTGTTACAGATCACCAAGACGCCCCCAGCTGCTGTTGCTGCGTCGACACCCACATCTGCGGCTTCTATTGCACGTAAGAACACGCGTACGTGGCTACAACACATTAATGAGGCCGTGCAGACGATGCTGGACACGGAGAAGTCGTCGGTTATTTTGCGTCAAGTGACGCCACTGCGCCAAGCGCTCGAGGAGCGACTACAGCCAGAGAATGAGACGCAATTAAATGAGAACAAGATGATTTACAATGGTGACATGGAGGACGAAAGAGAGAGCAACATGGAACCGGGCGAGATGTTGCCGTCGGACCGCAATTTGAAAAAGCCACGAGACGAAATGGAAGAGACAGGAGACAAAGAAGACGATGAACGGGAGCCAAAGAAGACCAAATACGATGATGATACGAGACCAATGTCTTCTTCTTATAAGGAAGGAAAGATTGTACAGCTTAATCGTGACTCCAGTAATGGTGATATGTCGCTAGAATCTTGGAAGAAACCGTCATTTGATGGCCGATCGGCTGAAAATGAAGGAAGACGCCCGAAGATTAATGCGTTCTCGCCGCGTAACTGTCCGCCATGTCCTTATTTGTTCTTGGGTAGTGTGCCCCGTCATACACCTAGTACAGAAGTTGTTGAGTTCTTGGCTCCCGTGTGGCCAGCGATTGACAGCATGAGTGTGCAGATTAAACAGCCAGACAACAATGCGACGGCTTATGCGTTTGTAAGCATGCCATCCATTGAGCTTGCGCGCGAAGCTATTCACTATGTTGTCGCGAACAAGTTTCGTGGCCGCGTGTTCTTGAATGCAAACTTTGCTCGTGGACCACCGGTGGATACGGTGCTCTTTGTGGAGCGAACGGGTGAAGATGTGAAAATGGAGGACAAGGGAGCTGTTCGTGAGTTTGACTTTTCCAAGTGTGACCCGGAAGTTTGGGATGTGCTGTGTCAGCAGCTGGAGCGTTTTGGTCCATTGTCGCACGCAGAGAACGGTTGCGTGCGCTTTCGTAGCTCGGATCATGCCAAGGCAGCGATTCGTAAGCAGCTTTTTACTGTGATGGGATACGAGATTTACCCTGTGTACGACACGAAAGAACAGTTTGCGATTGATTCGACGCGTCGTGGACCAAAAGCACACAACAAGAAGGGATTTACTCTGAAGTCGGGACGACTCGGTAAGATTTGTGCAGAGTGGCGTTATTTGGTACCGACGTGGTAATTTTCTGATTTGCATTTGCCTGTTCGAAACTTTCGTGTAGTTGGAGGAGATTCAGATTATCGCGGCAGTAAGAATCACCACTATAAGGAAGACGCTGACTTCATGGTTGGTTCGAATGGACGTCATGAACGCGATCGAGTTATGTCAATGACGTACGGTGAAAGCAGTCATAGCCCCCTTCGTAGCGATCATGAGAGCGCTCGTGGGCGCTCGCGTCCCCACTCACCCAAGCCTCGCAATGTTGATGATCGCTACGATATACCTATGGGCGGGTTCTCGAAGGACCGACGTCCGCCTCACTTGCGTTCTAGGTCCCCTGTGTCCTTGATGAAGAATCCACTTTTGCACGAAAGTGGATATGGTCCACCGACAGACAAGGAAAATCGTCGTGAATTTCGTAGTGGTAAGTACAGCCGTCGTTCACCGTCTCCGATGGATGTCAAAGGTCATGAGAGCGCGGCCCATATTGAACTGCGCGGGCGACCCCGTGAGCGTGAAGGTTCTTGGATGGGCCCACGTTCCACTGGTGAATCGCGTGAGCGTCTTGAATCTCGAGAGGAGGGTCGAGGACATAGCAACTTTCGCAGTGCTAGTCCTTCTCCATCCCCTCCACAACGTAGCCGGAAAGAGGGTCGTGGAATGCAGCGTTCAGGTGACTACCGACGTGGTGGTGACTCCATTGAAGGTCGTCGTCAAATCTACCGAGAACCTCTGCGGGAGGATCGTGGTAGGATGCATCCGCCAGTTCTTTCCGACGGTGTTCTGGATTTACCTCGTAGCCGTAGCCGCAGCCTACAACGGGTTGGGAAATACGCGACTGGATCATCCAAAAGTCGACCTCGGTCACGCTCGCGGTCGCCTCAGCATGATGTGAGGATGGAAAGTAGTTTAACTGTACGGTCTAGCCGATACCGGTCAGTTGGGAACCAGCCTTCTGAAGAACGCCCACGCGTTGCGGATGATCGCTCTATAGCGGAAGTTGCTCGCGACGAACAGCAGGAGCGTCAGCGATTTTTCGAACAACAGCAGCAGCAAGGTCGTCGTGACTTGCACGATGCTGATTTGAGTCGCTATGGTGCAGGTCGTGGAGGCGGGCGAAGTGGTGGCCGCGGTCGTGGTCGTGGTCGTGGTGATCGATATCACGTGCCACAGGCTTACAGAGGCGGTCGAAGCGGGGCAATGTACCATCATGACTTACCGCCACCCAAGGGTCGTTCACCTTCCCCATTGCCGCCTTCCATTCATCATCGCTCAGTATCCCCACCGCCGCACGCTCGCCCGCGCTCATCTTCTCCTGTCCCACCTTCCCAGCAGCAGCGCGAACTTTATGGCCGTGGACGTCGTGGAGAGTATGCACCGCGTGGTCGCGAATCTGGCTACTCACCGCCGCCATCACCTTTACATCCAGGTTCTTACGGAATGGGACCTGCGGGTCCGTCCGACCGTCACGATTATGACCCGGAGATTGACAGCCGTATGGATCATGGGCCTAACCGTCATCAGCACCGTCACCACTCGCGTCACGATCGAAGTCGGGACGACAAAGGTCATCGCAGTCACCGTGAGAAACGAGAGAAGCGTTTGTCTCGCCCGGAACGATCGATGACCCCGTCACCAATTCGTGAAGAAGACACTTCTGGATCCAGTGGGAGGAAGTCAGGACATTCTCCGCATCGATCTTTCAACCGCCGTTCTGAAGGTGGCAACCAAGCTGAAGAAGCGTCTGGAAATGATAAGCAAACTCGGTCGAAGAATGAAGATGATTCGCAACCTCAGGAGAAGGAGGTGAAGAATGGAGGAGCACGCTTGGCGCGCGACGAGTTGTTCGCGGGCATGGATGATTTGACCGTGGACTACGAAGAAGACGACGAGTAAGGCAGATGTATTGTGAGGTGGGCACGTGAGGCAAATATGACAGGAAGTTGTGACGTCGTTGGTTGGAAATGCATTCATTAAATTGAATGGGGGGAACCCGATCAAATTGTGAGCAAGTGGTCGCACACGAAGGAGCCAGTGTGACGTATACTACTTGATTTGAGCTCCCGCTCCCGATATTTACGAAGCGGACGCTGGAAGAAACCTTCATTGCTTTGTAATACGTGCGTATTTGCTTGATGCTTTGGCTTTAATTTTGTCCGCGCATCTCTCTTTTGTTTGAACCCATCGATGAACGTTCACAAGTTCTAAAAGTATAGAAGTATGAGATGACGCAAACCGAAAGGCGAAGTTCTTCCAGTGAGTTTGAGCAGCGGTTCAGCACTTCATGCATGATTTTGATTTTGTGAAATGTGAAAGTGCTATCGCTACTATCGCGACGGTTGGCTTGAAATCATCCTTTCGCTAAGTTGTTTCCATTTTGGTCAAAGCTCAAGGCGCAAACGTGTATTTGCAAGAACAGATATGCCACTTTATCTGCAATGGCTTATCTTGATTCTTCTTTCCGATGGCTTTGGCAACTACCGACTCGCCTTTCGAGCGCGGACCGCACTTTATACTCACTACCCTTTATCCTTATTTATCGTCGACGCGCTATCGCAACGATTGAGCAACTAATTTATGATGAGGCGCTGCCATTGTTTTAGCTGCGCACTTTGAACCCTACGTTGGCCCAAATTGAACACCGCCTGAAGTCTTACTTGCTTACAAGATTCGTGGAGTTTTTTCAGCATGGCCAGTGTCGACAACATTACACCTACTAACATAGACATACTGTACTATGTTGGAGTGCAAGGACTAAATCATGGAGTTGCATTGATTCTAGTGCGGCTCGACGAATTTGCAAGTTATCATGTTCGTAACGTCGAGTTTATGATACGACGATAAGGTGGTGTAAGTGTTTGTCTACGGCACGGCTTTTATATATTTTCATTGCAGCAATTGAATTGCACTACTAGACGGCATTGAGTGCGTTGAATTATGAAAATCTGCGATTTGTAAAGTGAACTCAAGGAAATGGAGGGTTAAAATCAATGCAGTTGCTAGAATTTATTTGGAGCTGATCCGCATTATCACGGACTTAGTGACGCAAGACATTTTGGCGGATTTTGTTCATCATGATTGTTAATCCGATATGCAAGGGTATCATTGAAAACAGTGAGAAAGAAACAGAAACTAGATACAGTCTTTGAAAAGAGACGTATAAACGCTGGAGATAAAGTCGTTGTAATCATGGCATTGCGGCAAAGCACACGGGATTGATATTTCTGGCGTTGAGTGGTCTTATGAAATTTCTTGGATGTGTGAGACAATAAGGACAGCATGTCTATCGACATTTGCCACTGGTGGTCCTACTTGACAGCCAGGCACCGGTGATCATATTCTCGACCGACATTAGCGCTGGTTGGTACGATCTCAGCAGGTTTTCTATAAGCGAAAAATAGAGCCCTCGCCAGTGCGAAAGCCTGGAGAAGGATGAAGTAATTCAGCTTTAACGTCGCCATGATGTTCTGCCCAGGTGAATTTTCCGGTTTTAGGTCGAACAGGCCACGAGGCCGGCAACACATTACGGTAGCATGCTGCGCCGATGCCCACCACCCCACTCACCGACAAGAGCTTTAAATTAGTCGCTGACAAAAGAATTGACCGATGCTACGACGCAGCCACTCACTCAGGGATATTAATGATTTCGAGTGCATCTGCTTCGAGCAATATCGATGCTGGACTTCAGTGGAGAGCGATTGTGTGGACAAGATTAGTCTATTCGCTTTTACGACGCGGATGTGTGCAAAGAGTCTATAGCAAAGTGATAGTGACTACTACAGCAACATTCTTCGTTTCGTACGAGAAGATAGATTGCAAAGTACCAATAAGTCGGCCTGCCTGACGACGGATCGGTTGAGTAGGTGAACACGCAGTAGCTCTAAAAGGCACTGCCTAGATTGTTCGAGTGTCGCTGTGTGGTCGCCCGAAGGAAGAAGCGGCGCGTTGGTCGGACGAATCACATCTTCCTCATGATGACACTACTATATGCTATACACTTCTAAACGAATGCAGGCAAAGCGACAGACTGCAAAGCGTGAAAAAGCATCGTTACTTTGTGCTATAAGGATCAGGGTAGGTGACGGAGGAACAGACAAAGTCGTTGGTTTTGTTTTCCTGTATGGGTAGCACGGTCCTAATTGCCCATAAGCTCTTGGATGTCAGCACGACTTTGCTCCTTTGCTGGTAGCTTTTGGAAGCGCACGTCCATCTCTTCGACACGCCCTACTTTTTTGAGCGCGTCCAGTTCCGGCGCGACATCGAGCGGCCTCACAGCGTTACCTATTGCGCGATGAACCTCATAGAGATACAGCACTGACGGGTACTGCTCATAGTCCTGCAAAATTGTCACCACTTCACGGCGCGCCGTGTCCGTTAGTGGCAGCACCGCGTAGGCTTCAATGGCTTCGGCGAAGCGTCCTCGGAAGCAAAAGTCCTTGACGATACCGAGAGCCACATACATAGGAATCAATTGCCACTCCTTGTTCTCTATCAAGATAGTACCCCCTTTGTCCTTGTGTAGGCCATTGTCGTCCTTCCTCCTAGTAACTTCCTCGTCTCCTTTCTCCTCCTGTTCTTCATCATCTTCATCCTCGTCTCCTTTTTCTTCTTTTTCTTCTTTTCCTGCAACTTTCTCCCTAGCAGCAACACGAGCGTCTCTGTGGCTCTTGTATGCAAGTAAATACGATCGCAATGGAGCTCCCGATAGAAAAAATTGACGCTGGAAATACTGTTGCCATACAGCACCTTGGGCCATGTTGGCGTGCGGTTCGAGAGCAGAAAACACGGCGTCGGCTGCCTGTGGGTTGTCCTTGAGTTGCTGAAAACACCATTGAACAAGAGGTGTGAGTCGATGTACCTTCTGCGAGGCGAACAATGCCTTGTACGGAAGCGGACGGAGCTTCTCGGCCGGGACCACACGCTGTACATCGTTGTGATCCACCAGCAGATATTCGAGCACACGCTGTGTCACAATGGGTGCAGATAATAGCTGATTATTCTCTCGATAAAGTGAGTCGAACTGGATGGTCGAAGTACTGACGCTGGAGAAGCAGCGACGACTAGTACGACGGAAGAGGAAGAGAGCCATGACGAAATGCCGATTAATGGTCAAAAGAGGCTGTTGTTCAAAAGTGGTACATACAAAAGTCAAGTCAACAATGCAGACACACACACCATCGACTGTAAAAGACGAGATCTCCTTTGTATGCTTTTAATGATCCTGCCTAGACGAATGAAGACTCGTCGACTGTCTTTCCTTGCTCCATGAAAGACGGTTCCATGTGATCTGAACAGCGCCGTTAAAAATGTCGAAAGAATGAAACTACCGAGAAGGGTCTTTGATGCTGTGCATGTGTCATGAAGTAAATTGTTGTAAGAGATTATTCATTTTTCAATTGGAAGGATGGAGTTTCCTGTCAAGACAAACTTTTTCCCGCAAGTGCGACTAACAACCGAGGAGCGACAACGTTATGTCGCTACTGGAGAGCAGAGTGCAAGGGCACTTCGTAGCTCCCTCACGACTCTTGTTTGGAAAAAAACCATGGAAAAGGACGGAGTGACCTACGCACAAGCACACTACAGTGAAGGCAGCAGTCTTTACTCCCCGTCAGTAGCAACTGAAGCAGCAAAAAAAGCCAAAAATGAGTCGGAAGCAACCGCGTCGGCGTGTTTGATCATGAGTGCAACGACTTTTGCAGCTGGAACCATCGGTGAGGCCCTAGAGGCGTTGGCGTCGCCTGTCACAGAGGACTATCGGCGCGTTATGCATTTCCTGTACGGGTCCTCCTTCATCGATGGGGTATGCTTGCACACAATTACAGGAAAAGACTCCGACAACAGTGATAATAACGCAAAATACAATTCACAGGCTTTCACAGCTGTGAAGTGGGCAGCCTTTGACGACGGCAAGGCGTTCAATGCAGGAGCAGGATCTCCTGCTGGTACAGATTATTGCTTCCTCGAGCACTCAGGCATACATTGCAGTGAAAGGGGCATTCATAGTGTTGCCATTGGTAGTGGAACCGACCTGTTTGGCTTTAGCATTCAGGAATCCATCGTACGGGATCGTGAGGTGCCTTCACTTCCTGGGGCCGGACTAGTCCGAGGCCATCTTCATCGAACCGGCATCCTCATCTTGCCCACGGATCGTCCCGATGTGATACAGATTACTTTTATCTTTCAGACGCGCATAGCGAAAGGCACTATGAGCGATGGCAGCGGACCCCTAGCAAGTTCCGGAAAGGCCAGTGTTCTGGCTTTAGCTCGACAAATGCGTCGACGAGTGGCCGCAGTCGGAAGGTTGTACCTTCTATTGGAGCGGCGTCGGCTTAGCAAGCTCAAGCATGTACCACGAGCCGACTGGGTGCCCGATGACGCCCGCAAGATCTGTGCTGTGTGCGTGAAACCTTTTGCGCTGAGACGGCGAAAGCACCATTGTCGTCACTGCGGAGAGGTCGTGTGCTCGTCGTGTGCTCCTGCGCGCGATGTCGACCTCAATACCGCTACTCCCTCTTCTACCACTGTTCGTATTTGCACAGCATGCGTGGTGCAATCACGAACCGGAGCTCAAGGTCATGGTAACTACGACATATTTGTGCATCGCCTGAGAGATACAGGACCCACGCCGACATTTCGATCCTTGACAAATTCAGCAGGGTGCCTAACGCTTGCCGACAACAACAGCGCCGAGGCTGAAACCCGAAGGAAATCGATGTCATCCCGGAGCAGCATGTTTTCCATTTCAAGCGACTCACAGATCTCCGCTCGACTCACAGACGCGGACTACGCAGACGGATCCATAAGCTTCTATGACTATGGAAACGATCACATTGACGCGTCGTCGAGCACTTCTAGCATCGATTCGCTGAGCAGGTCTAGCATCGATTCGCTGAGTGATTTGGACGCCCTTGACAGCTTGGCAAGCTCTCCTCGTTCCAACCAGGACGAGATCGACTGTCAATACTGGCGGTACGGTCGTAGTAGTCAATGGAGCGATTGTGGCCGGCCTGATGCTCGTTCAACATTACCGACGTCTACCAGCAATTTGGGAAACCCCGAGTCACCTACCAAACTACTCGAGCGAATCCGAGGAATGAAGTCTGACTTATTTACACTGGCAACGTCGTACCGGCATTTCAGTGATGCCAGCAACTTTAGCATCGGCAGCAGTTTTGTCAACTCCTGCGTCGACGAAGAAGACGTTGCAGTGTGTCGCATGACTTGGTCTGCTCCCCTTAGTCTGGAATTTAAACACGAAGACAGCAGGCAACGGACAAGAAGTAGTTATTGCGAAGGCACTGAGGAGGCAACGAACGTCGACTTTATCAACAGCAGCGAGCAATTCACGCTGCTCTGTCCAGAGACGCTCAGTCGGCAGTGGCGCACACGCACTAGCAGCCAAGTACATCAGGATGCTGGTGAGAAATTCGACCTTAGCTTGAGTCTATCGAGCATGTCGTTTGTATCGACATTGTCTAATTTGACGATACTTGGTGATGAAGAAGACCTGGAACGCCGCGAGTCACGAGAGTCGAAGAGCGCTAAAGTCAGCGAGAATCAAGTGGAGCTACAGGTGCTACAGCATCAGTTTGAGGGACTAAATCGATCGCTGACGACTGCAACGTCGCAACTCGACAGCTTTTACACGTGTGAGGTGTCCTATCAACCGTGTCCAGTGCTGGTAGATCCGGTAGCTGCAAGACATCAAGCCATGTACAAGTTGCTGATGGAAGAACTGCATGAAATTATAGGACTGCCATGTCCAGGCCACAAGTACTAGACAAAAGTATCTTTTCATGTTGCAAGAAATGTAAAAAAGTGACATGAGCCTATTGAGTCATATTTAGAATTTGGACATCGTGGACAAACAGCCCCAAAACGTGGAACATATTTGTCCTTTTTTGCGTAAAAAGTACAAGCACAAACGTCATGACCAGGTACTACTCACTGCCATTTACATAAAACAGTGTGCAAAAGTGTAAATACTTATAAATTTGGATAAAAGATTCAGTAAAACAGACCGACAATAATTACACATGTTCGTACGGTACCGGATGCTCCATGGTGGACGCCAGTCACCTCGTGGCTCTTTTGTCACCCCAAGACGATATCGATGGTTTTGCCACTTTGAGAATACCACCTCCTACTTACTGTATATATCTACTATTTTGTGAAATCTACTACACTCATACAACAACACTCTGTAAACTTGTCACACTTAAGAAGCACACAACTTACAAAACGTAGTAAACAAGCGAGTGGAGCTAGCTGTCAGGACGTGTTCAGTCCGATCTATCTTCTTAACAGCTCCGTAAGTACCTAAGACGGTGCTCTATCGACCAAAAGACAATAGATTAATATACAGATACGAGGTACATACACGCAGTACGTCTAGCAAAGAAGGTTACGCCAGAGCAGAGCACGAAACGTCGTGAGGCGGACCACCAATACATGAGGTCAATTATCGCAGTGTATGGACTTCTTACGGCTTCATTCCAAAGCGCTATCGGCTTTACGGTCGTGCACTCTGGCTGTGAAGGACTGGAAGAGCAGTCTGTACGTGTCGTAGGCGTGGTAGGAATTTTCTGTGTGCCATTGCGGCCATGTGAAGGATCAGTGAACAGCGGAACCAATGAACCGCTTGCTTGTCCTCGGGAAGGCCAGCGAGATGTCTTTGGGGAGGTGGAATTGATGACGGACAGTTGCTGTGCTGTGGTGGACAGCGTTAGCGGTGCACTGGGTTGTGTCTTAGCAGGAGCTGAGGAACGAAAGTCGGTATGTCTACCGTCTGCAAATTGGCGGCGGGAAAGAGATTCTTTTCGTTTGAGTCGACGGAGAAAGAGAATGCAGAATGTAGCGGATTCATTATCTCCTGCAGGTTCAACGGGGGTGACGCCAGCTCCCGTAATTGAAACAGATCCCTCAGTAGCTACAACAACACCTTTAGCAGCAGCCACAACTCCAGTGGCTATGACGACATTAATTCCAATGGCTATGACGACATTAACTCCGGTTGAATATTCGGCCACAGAAGCTTCAGCTACTCCAGTAGTTTCCTCATCCGTTCCAGTAAATTCCCCATCCGTTCCAGTAAATTCCTCTTCTGGTCCAGTAGCTTCCACTTCAGCCCCATTTGCAACAGCTACGACAGTTGCGGTTCATGTTCCTTCTTCGGTAGTTCCAGTCTCGACGGCTAAAACGGAAATTTCGACAATTGATACGGCTGCCTCTGATACTCTCTCCGAGTCAAGTTCGTCTAGTGGATCGGGACCTACGTATTCACCTTTTGTTGTGATACCGACGCCTCTGACACCGACTCCACTATGTACGATGGGCTCCGATTGCAACGACAATGGTGGATTGGTACTGGAAGTCTCATCAGCAGATACTTCTGGACCGGGGTCCGCAGCCGATGGATCACTGAGACCACCAACACCTACTTCTGTACCGAGATCCGCAGCCGATGGATCACTGAGACCACCAACACCTACTTCTGTACCGGGGTCCGCATTCGATGGATCACTGAGACCACCAACACCTACTTCTGTACCGGGGTCCGCAGCCGATGGATTACTGAGACCACCAACACCTACTTCTGTACCGGCAGCTGATGTTGAAATCAGTGAGTCAGCAGGCTCATTGACGGGGTCAACATCTTTGTCAAATGGAAGCATCCCAATTGGTACAATGGGAAATTCTTCGGAGATGAGATCAACCTCAACAGGATCAGTAGCAACCTTAATCGATGAAGGCACAGGTGCAAGCCTTAATGTCAGCTTGGCATCGTCACCAGAGACTGCATCCTCAAATTCAAGTTCCAACTTGGGAAGTGATGAGCCCAGTGATTCAGGTTCAATAGCCGTCAACTCGGTGAAGAATGGAAGTCTCGATAACTTGAGCAATAGTAACGCAGAGTCAAGTACGAAGGACAATGTGGTACCGAAGCCGTCGCTGTCACGTTCGTCTTCGTCAATATTAGCGCCAGCCAGCCATTCTTTGGAGATCGAGCGTCTCACTCCCGTGCCTATCGTGTCTCCATGGTCGAAAGGTGTTCTACAGTTATCACCTATCACGGATGATGATAATGAGAACAGTGTGAACCCGCCACCGTCTACTGATGGTGGTTTGCCTCCAGTAAATGGTATACACACGGACGAAAGCAACGCACTAGGCCTAAACGTGATACTGTTTATTACTGTGGGGAGTGTCGTGGCGGTAGCTTTGATATTCGGGGTTTTCTATCTTCGCCCAAAGCGGGCCATCACCCATGAGTTGCTAACTCCCGAGCCTCCGCGACCGATGGATCGCACTGGTGCATATCCATACGATCATTCTCTAGAGCTGGAATCTACTGGTCCGTACGATGCCTCAAACACGCCACGGGGGTCGATATAATCCACACATCTACTAGTACCAGTATTTTTGAAAACATAATAGATTAGGGAAAGGATACAGCTACTTCGAAGCATTATAAATAGCAAGATACCAAGAGGAAAACACTCTGTTGAGTACACAGATCGGCAAAAGATGTTTTATTAGTTGAGCGACGCTGTGTCTCTCTTTCATGAGACAACAAAAGTATTCTGTTAGTAATACACAATGCCAGTGGTCCTCTGAATCTCACAAAAACCTACAACAATAATCATGGACCACAAGCACATGGTAAAACAATCAATGAATAGACAACAAAAAGCTCAAAAGATACGCAGAAACGTACGGCGCTTAAAGAAATCGTAGCTTGAAGCCGCATCAAAATCAGAATTCTCCACAACAAAGCTGTCGCGATACTGTACCTGTATCTCCTTGGATCGGTCCAGCATAGTGCTCACATGCTGACGAAAATCCACTATTGCCACTTCGAAACCTGTAATACTAGCCATGCTCTGGTCGGATGTACTAGCAGCAGTCCCACCAACTTGGTTACCAGAGTCAGCCACTACAGGGCACGCTACGTCGCCTACTACGATAACTTGCACTTCTTCCTTCAATTGTGAAAAACCTGCGTTCATCTCACTCCTTCGATTCGTAAATGAATATAAATTGCCTTCCGTTGCATTCTCACCATCCTGCGTAATAGATCCAGTGTCTTCCTTTGTAGTATGAAGCCGTTCGTTTTCCTGTTTCTCTTGATCTTGAAGTCGTTTGTGCTTTTTAACTGCTGCACGCTTCTGTTTCTGTTTCAATCTGTACTTTTGTCTCTGTTTTCGACGTGTTGCTGCTGCTTTTTCTAGTCCACCCTGTTTTGTTACCACGTCCTCCTCCGATGGCATCCCAGGCCAGTTCTCCCTGTCTATCTCCTCCGCATCTTCCCGCTGTCGTAGGTCACTATACCGCAGGAAAACAACATCATCCTCCGATCCACTCTGTGTCTCTTGACTGGATAAATCAGCTACAAATGACTCAGATGACAATGGCTCCTCAAGTACACCAACTGTCTTCTTCTTGATCCTAGCCAGTGTCTCGACTCCTTTCACAAAAGCCACCTCCTTATCCTCATTGCATTTGCTCGATTGTCTCGTTAACGGTAACGGCGTCGGCTGCACAGCCTTTGCCTTCCACAACATCTGTTTAAGCAACACTGGCTGTTGCTGTTGCTTGGAATACCGAGACTTGGGCTGATAGCGATAATCTACTAACGGTCTCTCGCCTCGGAGCACCTCCTGCTTGAGTTGCTTCGACTTTTCTTGTTTAGTGTCCGTTGATTGCCGCTGTTCTTTGTTCGTGGACACTGGAGCCTTGCGACGATAACGCAATGAGCCACTGGATGATATGGATGGAAACATTGGGCGGTCTGATGTTTTCTTCCTGACGAAGGATGATCAGTCAATAACGAGACTAAAAGGTTGGATCGTCTTCTGTGCTTTGAAGCATTTGGCGCGAAAAAAGCTCAGAAAGAAGACGATATACAAATCTCAAGTATACTACTTTTCTCGCTTTTTATGCAAAATGCGACATGAGACAACCGTATTGTTGTTCGATTCGCAGTAAAAATTGAAAATCATTTGACGTGATATTCTCGTTAGCTGAAATGGCTGTCCCGGTTTCAAATGCCGCTACTAAAAAGCAACAAATTAGCTACCAATTCAGCTCCACATCTCTTTTTTATGAGGTTTCTTAGTTCTCCTCCGTCAGCACATTGAGAACGACATTGAGGTCACCATTACTCTTCTCAAGAATGTCAATGATACGTGCCGGGCTGACATTTGGGAGAATACTGCTCACGATGGACAGCGGCTCGGCCCATTTGAGTTCAGCCTCAGAAAAGGCCACAGATGATGCGAGAGACGGCGTTTCTTCCGTCTCCTGAGCAGGTGGAGCCTTCTCCACTTGGACAGATGGAGCTTTTTCATCTTGAACAGATAAAAGTGGTCTCACCACCTCTGGCAGCTGCTGCATCTGCTCCGGCTCGGGAGTCACTACAGGGACTGCGACCGGTGCCATCGTTGCTTCTCCTGCCTTCTTCTCTGGGATGAAGCGATTGATCTGACCCACAAGACCCTGAGCAAAGCTGGAGAAACCTCCAACTGCAGTTTTGGGCGAGCAAGCGCTCTCTCTGGTCGCCTGCGTTACCGTCACGCTCGTATTGGCAGCCACACTGGAGGCGAACTGGGCGTCATGCTTGAGCTTCTCAAGTGTCACGGCCAGTGCCTGCATGAGCTGCTCCACGGACGCAATGAGAGGGTCCGCTACCTTCTCCTGGAACTCAGCTTGGCGCTTGGTAACGGCCGAGAATTTGAGCGACGGTACAGGCTCGTGGGTGTCCAAGAAGACACGCACGGCCTCCTGAAACTCGGCGTCCGTCGTTACGTTGACGCAATCACCCTCTGGGTCGCGGTATTGCACTACAAAGTCACCCACGGGCTGACGAAAGGTCTGCGACATGAGATGCGTGAGTTCTGCTAGTGAGAAACCTCGCAAGTCCACGCGCGTACGGTGAATGTCCCCGTTAAAGGCGATTTTAAGTGCCACTTGATGCGATGCCATTGTTACTCAGAGGTCTTTTGGAAGAATAGAGAAATGCCAACAAAACGAACGAGAGGTTAGGGACATTTGTTCTTACAGGTAGTAGAACAGGTAGAATTCTACCATCTTTGGTACAAACCTTTAATGTGCTCTTTATAAACAGCTGATCGGGTTTTTCTATATTTGAATGTCAACATTCTCTGAATTTTATATCCGGATTGCATGTTCCCGTGGTACTGTAAACGATTAGGGCTAATCTACAATACCGCTGTAGTACATTTGATACCGATATTTTCAAATATAGTATTTAAATCTTATACGATACTAAATACATACAAGAACTTGATATTCTTTCGGCTGCAATTTTTATCAGTTAAGGTGACAATTAAAATAGTAATTATCGTGATTTTTTCAGCAGGTAACAGAAGGTATCAGTTAAGGCAGTATCATTATTGACATGTGCTTTGCGTTACTTTGTAAGAATGATATTGCCGCGTGAGGCTGGAGGATTTGATGAACAAGGCCGAAGCTCTGGTAATTTGTAACTCTACAACAACTCAACCAATTGACCCCCACCATTTCATTGACTATACATTGCTGTTTTCCTCGTTGTGTGTGTTGCTTGTAAGTTAGTCGTAAAAGTCAACAGGATGACGCGGAGCATCGCTTTGCTTCAACTCTTTTTGTACCTGGCGCTCACCCGAAACATCCATCATGTGCTGGTCGTCTTCCTCGCGGTCTCGCGTCACAGCCTCCTTATCTTCTTGAATACTTGCTGATGGAGGTGCAAGCGTAAACGGGACGCTAGGGACAGCCTCGAGCTGACGCAGATTCTCGTGAATTGAACGCTTGATATCGTCAAGGTAAGCGGGTGTGTTAAGATTTTCCATATTGCTCACGGGCAAGTGAAGGCGGTATTCAGGCCCATAGTATTCGAAGTAGTCATTGTAAGGCATCGCGTCCGGGATATCGACACCCACTAGTAATGACGCCTCGTAGCACCAGGCACGCGCAACATTGCGTAGTGTGTAACCTCCACCACCAACAACTAAGGTGGGGATATTGAAGCTTTTCACGTAAGCCACGCAGTCGGCATGGCCCTTGGCCGACAGATTGAAGCTTCCAAGCCGGTCGCCAGACAATGAGTCTGTACCACATTGAAGCAACACGGCACCCGGTGCAAAGTGCTCCATTACCTTAGCAATGACACTGCGGAAAATGCCCGTAAAGCTTTCGTCATCCATGCCATCGCGGCAAGGAAAATTAACGGCGTAGTGCTTGCCGTCTCCGTAGCCAACGTCCTTGATATCGCCCGTACCGGGGAAGAATTCTCCGTACTTGTGGAACGAGCACGTCATGACTCGGTTGGTAGTGTAGAAAGCCTCTTCTACTCCATCGCCGTGATGGATATCAATATCGATATACAGAACCCGTTGATGGGTCTTCAGAAGTTCCAGGATACCGAGCACGCAGTCGTTCACGTAGCAAAAACCAGACGCCTCCGAGCGCTTGCCGTGGTGCAACCCACCCGAGTAATTAATGACAATGTCGGCAGAGCCCGCATTTAACTTGGCAGCGCCGCCGATCGAAGCCGACGCGTAAAGCTGGCAGAACTCAAAAAGGCCGTCAAAGACTGGACAATCTTCGCCCACATTAAAGCGCTGCAGCTGGCGCATATACTCGTGCATGTTGTCAGGTGTGATGAGACGTAGAAAGTGGATGTAGTCGTCCGAGTGGAAGCGGGTAAGCTCTGTCCAGTCCACGAGTCGAGGACGCTATCAAAGCACCATTAACAACGTTAGCCTCATATATATTACCTTAAAATAGAAGTAGCAGTGCAGAACGTACGTAGACTTCCATGTGTTTGGTCAGTCCGTAGTTAGTGATGAGATTATGCGCCATCCGCACACGATGAGGCTACAAAACAAGATAGAAATAGGTAAAGAGTAATGGTCAAAGAGAGTGTGATCTTCACCTAGTCCTAGTCATTGCATCACCTTCATAGGATGGTTCTGGCCGTAGTGGTAATTGCCGATCTCCGCTGTAAAACATAATAGAAGCAGAGCAATAGAGTTACAGGTCAGTTGAATAAACACGAACAAAGCTGAGGAAGAAGCGATATCATGAAAGTGAGCATACAGTCATAGAAGTAGGCAACACGGCGCTTGGTCGCGACGGTACCGCCACTAGTGAGCGCTACGGAGCTGCCATTGGCGCTCATGATACGTTGCGTGTTAATTCTCAGACTTTTACTACTGACAGATGTTGGGAACGTTGTTGACGTGGTACACGCAAGATGGCGTGGCAGACTCCATTTAATTCCGCAGCCAACCAAAAGGTGATCACATTCTCAGTTAAAAGCCGTCGAATCCATAGAGTGCCACTTTGAATCATGTCGGACAAGCCCGTGGCTGAACAAGATACAATGGTGGAAGTAGATCAAAATAATGAACGTGATGTCCAGTCTGTAGAAGGAGCGACTGATCAGTTGGCGCAGCTTACGGTAGATCCAGCCGAAGAGGAAGAGGACAGTCTGGTCAACCTGCCCAAGAACGTGCTGCTGCGTCTGGACGCGTTGCGCAAGCTTCAGGAGGCTCAGGGTGAAGTAGAAGAGGAGTTTGAGAAGGAGCGCAAGGTACTTGAGCTTAAGTACGAACGATTGTACCAACCGTTCTACCAACAACGCGCTGAGATCGTGTCAGGTACCAAAGAAGTAGAGGCTGTCACGGCCGCCACTGCTGAGCCTCAGGAGACCGACGTTGAAGACGAGGATAATGTAAAGGGAATCCCTGGTTTTTGGCTTCGTGCCTTTATGAACCACTCGGCACTTGCCGACCTCATTCAAGAGCGTGACTTGCCCGCGTTTGAGTTCCTTACGGACGTGCATTCGGTCAGCCACGACAACAACAATGGCTTCAAGCTCACGTTCGAATTTGCTGAAAATCCTTTCTTCTCCAACAAGACACTTGTCAAAGAGTACGATATCGGTGATGTTTCGGAGCTGGGCGAGGCTGTGTTACGCAACGTGAAGGGCACCGTCATCGAGTGGAAAGAGGGGCAGAACTTGTGTGAAGTAACCAAGAAAGTCAAGCAGCGTGCCAAGGGTGGAAAGGGTGAATCTCGTGTAGTGAGCCGCACGGAGCCTTGTGAGAGCTTTTTTCAGTTCTTCACTCCCGTGGAGATGCCGTCGGAGGAAGACGACGAAGATGTGAGTAACTGCGAGTATGCATTGCTTTTGGATTTGGAGTGCGATGACTAACTGTCAGTCTGTTGTTGTGGTTATTGTTATTGTAATAGAGTGAGATGATTATACGCCAAATGAGCGGCGACTTTGAGATTGGCTTTACAATCCACGAGACTATTATCCCACAGGCTCTACTCTGGTTTACTGGCGAGGCCGTGGAAGACGACTCGGACTATTTTGAAGAGGAGGAAGAAGACTACGAGGAGTCACTCTCCGGTGACGAAGCCCCCAAGCCTCGTCGAGGAAAGAAAAAGTTTCCCGCTCTGGATGGTGACGCCGACTCGATAGAGAAACCGCCTGAGTGTAAGAACCAGTGAGATGTTGCAAGATCCCATCGATAGTCCGAGACTATAACAATTGATATTTGTAGAGATCATACTCGACCATTACTATTTTTGAAAACATTTTGCTTATTTTGCGCAACCCTTACTCATCCCTGGAATAAGAGCTTGATTTTAGCTAAAAATCAGCTGTATATTGCTGAATTGTTGAAAAGAAAAAAATGGCTCCCAGTCCACTCTTTTTGTCAAAGTGGAAAAGCTGAGTCCGTTTTACTTGGATTGAGTATACTCATCTTCTTACTTTTCGTCTCGCACCATCGTCGACTACAAGCTAAGACAACTTCTACGTCATGTCAGACGCCTTCTCGTGCCGTGTAACGCGTGATTTGGGCCTCTTTGACTTCTTTCGCAGCCGTACCTTGTCTCTGAGTCGTCGCGAGTCTTGCAGCACATCTCATCCGTCTTCTAGAACGATTGGTAGCCAGCCTAAGCCCACGGGTCGCTTGTTCGAGTCGTCCGCTTCAATGCCGCCTTTACCAGCCTCTGGACCATCAGAAGCTTCGAACGCGGCCCCATCATCCTCTTCTACCGTTTCAATGCCTCCTCTTGAGTCTCTGAACTTTGTAGACACGACAATATCAGTGGAATCGTGCAGTAATGACCATTTAAGTGACGACGACAGTGACAGCAGCTCAGATGACGGTATTGGCTCGACTACCGACAGTAATCGCAAAAGCGTAGAAAGTGCAATCACTAAATACGAAGTGGTTCGTGAGCTTGGACGTGGTGCTACGGCCGTCGTCCAGCTGGGTCGACTCCGTGGTGGAGATGATTTGGTGGCTTTAAAGGTTTTTAAGACGTCATTACTCAAGAAAATGCGAGATGTAAAGCGTGTTGGTCGACGCATGGTAGTGTCTACTGCACTGGATAAGGTACAAGTGGAGATTGCTATTATGAAGAAGCTACATCACCCAAATTTGTTGAATCTATTGGAAGTATTCGATGACGACTCGGAAATGCTAGTACTTATGCTGGAGTATGCACCATCGGGGCAAGTGATGCAGTGGTATCCTGAAGAGAGGCTGTATAAGAAGACTGATGCAAACAAGAAGGATATTAGCTCTTTTTGCTTTGGTCAAGAAGAGCTACGTGTTTGTGTGCGACAGCTACTTTTGGGACTCGAGTACCTTCATGAGAACAACATTTGCCACCGTGATTTGAAACCCGAGAACATTTTAATCGGTCAGGATGGTACATACAAGATTGCCGACTTTGGTGTTGCACATTTTTTCGAAGAGGACGACAAGGATTCTAAGGCTAAGGTTACATGTGGGGCAGCTCCTTCTTCTATAGTGACGCCGCAGAGAAAGGGATATGTCTCGACAACAGCTGGTACGTATGCATTCATGGGCCCAGAGACACTCAAAGGTGGCGAATACAGTGCATATGCGGCTGACATTTGGGCGCTGGGCATTACAATCTACGCTTTGGCCTATGGCAGGATTCCGTTCTATGACCCCGATGTAATGTCACTGTTTGAAATGATTGAGAAGAACCCGATCGAGTTTGACAACGGGGCAGAGGAAAATAGTAACGACGAAGGTTTGGTTGAGCTGCTTCACGGCTTACTGGAGAAGGACCCTGCAAAGCGCTGGTCGCTGCAAAAGTGCAAGGAGCATTGGTGGGTCCTGGACGGTTTGTCCGATGAGGAGAAGAAGCAGTATGTGGAGACAAGCTACGAGGCCGTGACGGTTGGACCGGAGGATTTGGCGTGCGCCGTGACGCGCGTGACATCTTTAAATATCATTTTGCGAGTAAAGCTTGGCGCCAGTAAGTGGAAGCGCAAAGCGATGCGATCACTAGAGGAGCGACGGCGATCTCTGAATGATGGTGGCAGCAACTTTGGTGAGTCTATATCTTCACGTTTTTCTGGTGTGAGTATGTTTGAGTCAATGGATTCAGAGACGAAGCATTCGATAGTCTCTACAGAGCTTGCAAGCAACCAGCTCGAGATATAAAGAGCTCAAGAGACTGATGGAGAGAGCGGTATGTAGCAAAAGAATGCATTCAAACTGACAACATGTATATATCTGGTAATACACATCTATCTACGTTCGTACTTAGTGTAATTGCATCCATTTTCCCAATCTACTTCAGAAATATGCAGCGCTACAGCCACGCGCAGTCGTCGAACGAGTTTTACAGCCACAACGACAGACTCATGGACACATCTAATCGGTATAACGACTCGGAAAATGCTTCAATGACACTGTTATCAAGTGATAACTATGGTGCGTACACATCAGTGATTCAGACGCGTCACCAACAGCAACAGCCGCGTCAGCATCATCGACTCAATAACGACAGTAGCAGTCTCACTGTAACCACAATAGCTGCAGCAGAACTCAATGACGAACATCAGTACGACCTTCAGTTACTGGCCTATCGAGTGATTTACGTGCTACAAGGTGCCTTTATGGGGATGTTGGGCCCTGCACTTGTCTTCTTTTCAACGCTAGCGATGAAACAATCAGGACATGCAGCGCCAGTGTATGGATTTGGTCCCATCTTTGCAGCACATGGAGGTGCTGCACTCGTCATGAGCTTCATGAGTGACTTTGTGCTCACTTACTTTTCCGAGAAAGAATTTATGAAGCAATTGATCGTCATTCTACTGCTCTGCAGTGGAGCGTGGTTTGCGTGTCTGACCTCAGTAGCTGCAGCAACAGGGAATGTAGGCGTTGGATGTTATTTTATTGCAAAAGGATTTTGGACGGCGTTGCTCAATATCACGTACGTGTGTGTGTGTGACAACTAACGTTGCAAGTTTGTTGATGATGTTTTGATACTGGGAGCTGCTGATGCTAACGCGTTTCTTGTGCATGTGACAGACTCAATAGATGTTCCTTACAGATTGCTGGAGACAATGGCCCACGGAGACGTAGTATTATCACGTCTATGAACATCAACTACGGCCTTGGCTGCGTGCTGGGTGCCATCGGGGCATTGGTGCTAACCAAGTTGGACATCGACATGGGCTATGCATTCGTCGGACTGGCTATACTAACGACATTTCCGGTTGTGCTAGTTGTGATGCTGCCTAGTCCACGCAGCTACTACGGACGCGACGAGCATCAAACGCTGCTGACTTTCGAGGACCCCACGCGTCGTGTCCCCACCGTGCCCAGCCCCATTGTGGGTGGTGTCTTCTTACACGCCAAACATGTTAGCGGGTCCAAGAACTGCAATCCGGACACATACGACTCGAAAAACAACTTCATCATCCTGCTCGTGACCATCTTCGCCACCGTGCTTTTCGGTATCCAACTCGGTCTCGCAGCCTTTTTGTACGACTACATCGGCACCGTGCTGACAAAAGGTGTCCAGCTTGAGGCTGCAGAGGCATCGAGTTCCGGCGATATTGGAAGTGAGAGCAATCAGGCCGTCTGGCAGTGTGCGATTATGGTGCTGTTTTGGGGATCACTCATCGTGTCATATGTGGTACTCCCGAGGTTCTTGTTCCACGATAAGAACCTTTACTCTATCGTGGTTTGTGCGGTGATATGCGGAGCAAGTTCGTTTGGTCTTCTTTTTGGCACTGAGACGGGGCTGGTCACGTTCACGGTGTGCCTTTTCTTGTTTGCGTCTGCGCTGGCTCCGCTTTTTACGCTCAGCATCCACTGCTTGACTCGTGTAATAAATGAGCAGCTTATCAGACGCGTGTCATCGCTCATTGTGTTTGGCTGTGGTATGGGCGAGATATTTATTCCAGTGCTGATGGGATTCTTCATGAGCGGTCAAAGTGGACAGGCTAACGGAGCTGTTGCCGTCAGCTACATCACCTTTATTCTTTCTATAACGCTTGTGGGCGTTAGTGGTATGCTGCTTTGGATGGTCAAAGCAAGGCTGAAAGAGCTACCAGAGCCCGTAGATGAGCTTGAAGGCAATAGTGAAATGGGTCGCATGCGTGCGGCTCGTGCAAGCCACGTCGTTCGAAAGAATAATAACTATTGATAAGAGAAGGCTTACGATGCTAACCATTAATTTACAATTGACGTTAAGAAAATGAACATCCACAACAGCGACGACAGTATATTGCTCGATAAAGCGCACGCCATCCTGAAGAGTGTTGTTGTAACCGGCTTCAACAATGATGAACCAAGGAGTACTTGCTCTTCTTTGAAAACTATTGCGAAATATCTTTAATGAACACCACACTGAATCAAAACTTGAAACTGCGTTGCAAAAGATGCGGTGAGGCATCCAAAACATCGTGCTTAACTAATTTAAGCTTCAAAGCTTGCGTTTGTCAACCATTTGCGTTCCATAAAGCTCCGAGAGTACAAATAAATCGACTGAAACATTCGGATGACCATGAAACTCTGTAAACGTAGCAAATATCGGCTCATCGACGTCGGTTGATTCACATTATAAGATAAAATACTTCAAAAGGTGCGCATCTTATGCACAATGTCACCTAACTTTAGCTACAGAATTCCATCGTGTAGCTCCACTTCTGCCAAAGTAGCTGCAATGCTGGATGTTTACCATCTGAAAGCCAATGTAAACCCGCACATATAAATAATGCATAAAATGTACTATTGATACTTGCCCTCAAGTGACGCATTTGTTTCGACCCCATTAAGGTTATGCGCAGACTCATTTCGATGACATTTTTGTCCATAGTCGTGCCGAACATTGGCGGGTTGATACCGAGAACCATATTGTTTATCTAAGAGCAGTGCTTTGTGGGCCTGTTACATAAGATTGACACGAATTTTTAAAAACGAATGCGAATATTATCCTAGCTAATAATATTTACAAATATGATATTAGTTACTAATATTACCTTTCCAAGATGATATTATCGTCGCATCTCCTTAAAGTTGGAGATGCCCTTCTCACTGGCTGATGTTGGCCATGATATCAGCCTACGCGCTGGCCAAAGAAGGATGGACACGCGCAATGAGTGGAGGGCAAGTAGTTGACATACATATCTGTAATTTAATGTAGTTAACGTGACCTTTCAACAGATTAGTTTATTAGTTAGATTAACTAAGTACAGATTCATTTACCTTACTTCTGAGCGTGTAGTCTAAATGAAAAAGCCTCCTCTTCTAAATCTCAATTCACGTGAGGTTTTGGAGACTTGCATACACTATGTCAGTGTACGTATACTATTATATTTGGACGGTGCACCTAATATCACTGTGGAGAAGTGCCAGGAGAATCGTGGCCCATAAAAATATCGTAATTAACAGCACATAAATTCAGGTCACCCCCTCGAGGAAATGACTATGATTAGGCCTCGCAAAGCCCCAAATTTCAGCCACGAATCACCATGGACAGGGGATCAATTACCGGGGACAGGGGTACTAGTCATTGAGGACAGGGATACTGATCACCAGGTACAGGGGTATCAGTCACCAGGGACAGGGGTATTAAAGGTCCAGTTCCCCGAGCTCATAGAAGGAACAGGGTTTCCCTGCCGTGCACAGCTGGTAGACCAGGATCTCGAAGGTCCAGTGCCCCAAGGTGGTCCATTGTCCTGAAGTCATAGAAGGTACAAGGCTTCCCTGCCGAGCACAGCCTGTACCGGGCTAAGGGCCCGTTACCGTCTTACACTAAAAAGGCGTTGAGGAAGCGCTCTAAATGAACTCGTAAATATAACGCTGTTTTATTTTGTTTTTGTTTTAATTCGCAGTAAGTGCGAATATGTTCCCTAGCTCATGGGAACCACTCAATATGGAAGTCAATTTATTTATTGGCTAATTATTGGGTCTGGCACCCCAATAATAAACCAATAATAAAATGACGCGCAGTATCCGCTAATCGGATACTGCCCTATGCCTACTTATGTAATTATGTAATATCCCTATAACTACTTATGTAATAGGTTGCTCCATTACACAGCCGGAACACCAGGACCCCGAAGGCCCAGTGCCCCGAGGTGGTCCAGGGTCCTGAGGTCATAGAAGGTACAAGGAGTCTTTACGAGCAGAGTCGGTACAAGTCCAGGAGACCGAAGGTCCAGTGCCCCGAGGTGGTCAAGGGTCCTAAATGTCCAGTGCGTCGAGGTGGTTCAGGGTCCTGAAGTACAAGGTTTACCTACATGACAGAGCCGGCACTAGCCCAGGAGCCCGAAGGTCCAGTGACTCGAAGGTCCATGACCCCGAGGTAGTTCGGATTCCCGAGGTGGTCCAGAATCTCGAGGGTCCTAGATCCCAAGGTGGTCCAGGACCTAGAGGTAGCCCAGGGTCCAAGGTAATCCAGAATCAAGGTGGCACAGGGTCCAAGGTGGTTTAGGACCCCGAGATAGTCCAGATTCCCGAGGTAGTCCATGGTCCAGAGGTAGTCCAGGGTCCAGGGTGGTCCAGGACCCCGACTTACTTCGGGGTTCCGAGGTAGTCCATGGTCCAAGGTGATGTTCCAAGGTGATGTTCCAAGGTGTACCAAGACACAGAAGTAGTTCAGGGTTTAAGGTAGGCCAGAGTCCAAGGTGGTCCAGGGTCCAAGGTGGTCCCTGGTCCAGGGCGGTCCAGGACTCCGAGGTAGATCGGGGTCCCGAGGTTGTAAAAGGTACATCTAATGCACAGCCAGTACAAGTCATGAGTCCTAAAAGAGCCAGCTGTTCTTTCCGATGTCGACACGTGGCACTTTCCAGAGCGAAGGATTAGGGTTTGGCAAGAAAAAACATACAAAGTATAAGATAAATGAATACACTCGAATTCGCGTTACACGTGGCAGCTCTAAGCGCCCCCTTCAAGCTTCTCCGTCGCCTCACCTCTTCCGGGCGGGATACCCTTTGGCCCCCCGACGTCCAGCAGGTGTTAGACGGCTCGAGCAGCGCAAGTTGAACCTCGGGATAGTTGGCCTGAGGTGTCAAGACTCGACGACCCGCTACAGGAAGTGGTTTCCCTACGGGAAAAAGAAAGAGATCGAAAGACCAAGAAACCGTTAGCCACCGAAGGGGTACATAGTACCAGGTGCATTGCTCTCGAAACAGTCGATCGAGCACAAAGAAACCCGGTCCTGAGTGAAGTATATCCACTCGGGGACCACCACGTCCCTCCATACAAGAACCAAGTCTATATGTCTTTTGTGTCTAACGAGGAGCAAGACCATCCAAGCCGACGGTACACAAGGTGAGACCCAAGTTTGACACGACACGGTATCGGGATACCCCCTCCGTAAGTCGGCAGTCCGGCGCTGTGTGTGTTTGTGATTGTCATACGTCGTTTGAGAATCCACTCCACCACAGCACTTCGTGTTCGACTTACAACAACCGCATACTTAGTATCGGCTGTAATCCTCATCCTGGGAATTTAGTCTCTCGCATTAAAAGCAAGATTAGTCCATCTTCTTAGGTGCTTGAACGTACATTTTTTCGTTTTCTTCACGTTGACTTTGCGTGTTTGTCTCCTTTTTATCCTTATGTCATACCCCCTTCTGCATATTGGTGGTCAAGTGAGCTATTCATTTTTCAATACATCAGGTTTCCTTCTTGAGAGATTGAGGTCCACTACAGATCAGCCGAGGTCTACCGACGAGGAACCGAGGTCTCCCTACGAGAGGCCGAAGTCTGCCCCATGGTCTACCCTCCAGGGATTTCGGCATATGTTGCTGGTTTTCATGACTTTGCACCACTTCGAAACTGTTATGGCTTTTCTTCTTACGCTCAAAAATTTGAAGTAAGGTTACACAATTTAATTCCACTTCATCTACTCATGAGGCATCCACATGCCCCTTCCAACGGATGAAAACCTCTCGTTGTTTTCTCCCATACCCAGCCTTCTTGCCTGTACGAGTTTTCAATATTTCTTCAACTTCATATTCGCCTTCCCTCAATTCTCGCACCCAGCTATTCTCCGGTAACAAATATTCGTCAAAGTCAACCCGGCTGCTCTGTCCATCGCTAACACGTCATTTGGTCGATCGGGGAACTCCCTGACTTGGTTGAGCTTGTAAATATGTACTATCAGGATTCTCCTAGCCCCGTATTTCCAGGCGTGCACCGTGATCTCCAACCAATTCCGGAACTCTGAAAGGTCGATGGTAAAGTTGTGCCAGCTTCTTGGCGTACCCCAGTTTTAATCGGTCCAGGTACAATTACACTGGGTTCCTGGATCAATTTTATGTGCTTGAATCCGAGCTAGACTAGGTTCTCGTGAGCTCTCTGATAATGGCTTTGAATACGGTACTTTCATCTTCGAGGCTTCGACTCTTGACGTCGAATACTCACTATCGGTAATGTAGCTCTAGGTTACCCAATATGGAACAGATAGAACGGTGTTTTCTTGTTTACTCTGTCTTGCGTAGTCTTCATCGCGAACGTCAAACGTTCCGCATACTCGTCCCAGTCTCGTTTTCCTACGTCAAAGACATACATCTTGATGGACCTTGTCAGGGTATGGACCATCCTCTCCGCAGTACCGTTCCCCTGAGGTCGGTAGGCCATGGTAACTTGCTGAAGTTATCCCACCATTCGACTAAACTCCCGAGAAAAGTCCGACATAAACCCTGGTGTTCGACTGTCGCGGATCGCCTCACTAGCACCCAAACAGCGAAAACATACTCTTTATATCCCTCGGCAACCGTCTGGGCCATTCGCGAAGCACTAGCATTGGCCATCATATAGCCGGTGAACAGATCGACCCAGATCAGTAGTTCCATATTTATTCGTGCGACTTTGAAAGAGAGGGTATTTGGTCCATCGCGATGATTTGGAAGGAGTACGTCGCTTCGACATACCCCGAATTCTTCCCTTGCAAGATAAGCCGCCCCTTCCTGTCTCACGGTTCATGCAAAGACCCATACATCTCTGGGCACTCCGAAAAGACCTCTTCAATGGCACTATCGCCGAATACGATAGTAGGTACGTCCTGTAATGGGCTACATTACACACATAGTTAAAACAAATAAACAAATACATATGTAGACAGGTGCTGGGCCCGAATAGCGGGCACAGTGTGACAATTTATTATTGGTTTATTATTGGGGCCTAAAGTCCCAAT